CCTCTCTACTCACTCTTTATTTTTCCCTCCTTCAACCTCTGGGGTAAATTAAATCGCGTGGGCGACACCATGACTACGTAGAGGCCTACGAGTTCCAAGCACAGGTGTTCGCAATTCGGATATATATATATACATATATTGTATATGCATATGCATATAAATATTTATCAGTCAAGAGGATGATGTTACAGAAATCTTGAAAAAAAAAGAAGGTTATAGAAATAAAACTCCAAAAACAAGGAAAAAGAGAAGGAAAGCTACACCGTGTTGTATTCACGCGTAGTTAGACTAGAGAGGGGGGGAGGGAGAGAGAGAGAGAGAGAAAGAGAATTCATAAGGGTGTTCGACCCCTGCAGAGCACAAGGACCACTCCTCGAATCAAGTCGAATGACGACTTCGGTGTCCCGAGTAAGTAATGACAGTACGATGACTGGCGGACGCTAAACACCTGCGTTCACCACCTTATCTCGCGGATCCCGCTGTTCGAACAGGACAGGATCTGCTATCGTTATCCCCGTGGAAGAAACGCATTGGGTGGTCTCACAATGGGATGCCATTCTGGACTCTGGCAATCGACGATTCATCCAACCAGTCTTGTTTGTCACCTTCGTCACGATTGCTCCACCTTGTCCTATTCTTCCTCGTTCTGATCCTTCTCCTTCTCCTTTTCCTGATTTTGGTCCATACGGAGTCTGCGTATCCATAAGACAGATCCTGTAGGATCTTCTGGATCATCGAGAATTTCTTAGGTCTTTCCGTACCATCAGCGTAATACCGGAAATAAATCAACGACGAATCTAACGCTGAATCCATCCTGGATCACAGCATCCCCGCTTCTTAACCTCCACTGATCTCATCCTATACTATAGGTATCCGTTTCTCTCGACGCACTTATCGTTTCTTACGGCTATAGACGCGCACGTACCCTCTGCCCTGGTGGAGGCCCCGGGCGCACGCACTTTGGTTCTTCTGCCGTCTAAGGGCGTGGTCGAGAGACGCGCGACGTCCATTTGTCTCGGGCGCCTCCCGCACCAGGAACGCCCTCGCATCCCACGGGCATCGATCACGTCTTCCTCTTGGAGGACTTACGACACACTCTTCCGTTGCGTATTCCGATGCGTATATCTCTGAAGGTGGCAGTAACTGTCCTCAGTGAAGTCTTCGGGTACCTTTTGTGTATTACCTTATACATATGTGTCTGTAAGAATAATAAAAGTATGTATACATTAAATTGTATTAATACTATATATATATAGATATAGGCATAAGGGATGCAATTAATTGGCGACTCTCACTCTGAATGATCAATAAAAAAATGACAATATATTTTCCTGATAATAATTAGTACCTCATCAACTATCAGTTATAATTCAGAAGGCTAAATCAAGATGGATATTTCCGGGATCGTTAGAGCCTCAGGGCGTCGCGCGTTAAGGCCAGGTTACAATTAGGTACCGTATGTCAATTACGACCTACAAATAGATTTAACCTTCGATATATGTATACTCTACGAAGACGTGAGTCAGGTAGAGGACGAAGTATTACCACAGTAAAAGTGTATAAAACCTGGGGCGCTTGGTATAACTTAAATATAGAAGCACACTACTGATAAATTAAACGGCATTATCCTAATAAAGAACTTTCCTATATCTACAACATATAACATTGTTTAAAACTATGTACCTTTGACCTTACAAATTTTTACTTATGAATTAATACCTATAAAGAACTAATGGCTTGAAACTAATTATACATGTACATACGTGAGGCAATGTTACATAATACTGATAAGATTCATTAATAAAATAGTTTGTCGCTAAATCGTAAAAACAGTAATTCCCATATTCATATAAAATACAAATTATTTTACTACAAACTTTAAATAATAATTTTCATATATCTCACGCGTCTATTTCGTATTGCATTATACATATTCTCTATTGTGTCGTTGAGTATTAATTGTAATAAAAAAAAAAAGAAATTGCAATAGTTTATTATACAACGAAATAAGCGCAGTTAACCAATACAATAATAGTCACTACATATTCAATAGCCGCGAATCAACCACGCAAATCCAAGCATAACAATAATCAGATCAATACTATATAGATATACATTATAGTCATAGAGACGTTGAACCGGCTTCTACTATTAGTAATTCCATTCAGTCTATCACAATTATACTCGTCCAATATTATAGGAGGTATTACGAATAGCCATTAATAATACTAGGTTTTACAATCCCAACCTAACCTCAGCTCTTTGTTTTTTATCGCAGACCGGTAAATGATATCCTAACCGAATCATTTAACTTGATAAAATAAGATCAAGTCAATCAAACTGGATTGCATAGTTATATACCTATATCTATAGATTATATATATATATATTTATATACATATATGTATACTGTCAGGCCATAGCACTGACTATAGGTACCACGTAGAGGTTACTCGCATCGGAACGATCACTTTTGCATATGTATAATACTATATATGCCAGTACATATAGATATACACAGGCATGTATTTTAACAGCGAGTGAAATCGACTCAGTCATAATTCAAAATGACGTTAAGCATAACGAGCAGAGACGCGCGTAATCGTCTAGATAATTTGACTATAAATAATATTCCTTAGTAAATTCCCCGGCATCCTTCAGGCTGTCCACCTTAAAGGAGTTTCGTTGTTGAATTCAAAATTTTATGTAATAAAGCAAAACTTAGTGTGCTTCACATAGCTAGAAAATATCTGATGAGTATACGTATACAGAGAACGTGATTTATGTATGTATAAGGATAATTAAAATTTATGTAACATTTATGCGGTTTAACAATCTTCATTAAATACTATCGATCACACGATTACAAAGATTCTAATTTTATTTTTCAATACTGTAAAGCATTTATAGAATCTGCGGTCAATTACACTTCTCGTCTGTGGCTCTATCTCAATTATTAATCTGTAATCTCTGTGCTTAACTATACAGAACGGATTCTACCAAGAGACACTGAATATTCATCGTGTGGAATGATACAGCACGCTTCAAAAAGTATCTACGTTACGTTAACATTTGAATAAACATACAAGCATCCAAGATTAATCTATCTTATCAGATATCGGACGTGAGTATATGGATACATACTAAAATATCTTATCTACTTTGAATCACCCTGTATCCGGTCTCCCTAGATAACCCTTGAACAGAATCTTCTCGAATCTCCTACATAAGCTTGGCCACTCGAGCAGAATAGAGAAGAGGAAACGGATCGATCCTTTCCGGAACGCCCCTGGTTTCTTGTAACATTTCCACCCTATTGACGACCTTGACCCTTCTTTATTTTTCCTCTTACTTCTCGTCACTCCACCGCTCTCTGTCGACGCCCTATTCCAAGATAGATTTCACTCCAGAAGTTACGTGACATTCGTAGACAGAGGGAGGTGGACTAATGCAATTGTAAAAAGAAAAAAAAAGTTTATATATATATATATATAAAAATTCGTTCTTCTATTAAAAAAAAAATGTGTAATGTATGCACAGGTACCTAGTATGATGTTTTGTACTCACGAGAATGACCCATATTATTGATCGGTTGCTATAGTTGGAATTTAGTTATATGCATTTATATACATAGTATAAAGGTTGATAAGCACAAGGGTGTCTATGGTGCTACGGTGGTTACGCGTAAATAGCCTGATCGTATCATATAAACGCAATCTAGCTCGATCAAACGTTCTCGATGTGAAGGTAGAAATTAACGATTGCACGGTAACGCATGCCAACGCGCATAAATTTATGCATCGGTGTTTTTCGCACATACTATCTTTATGTCTCTCTCGCTCTTATTATCTCTTTTCAGGGTGTACCCGTTGCATATGCATGTGCCGATTGATATGAATGCATCGCTGCTTACTAAACGGGACGCTGCGCTATCTTGATTCCTCATTTTCCTTTCGGCCGCGGAAGTCCTTTCTGTGGCTTTCATGAGGAAACCATACGAATCCCTAATTACTATTATTGTTGTTATTATCTGGTAGGCTCGTTTACAGACGCACGTATTATTGACATTTTTATAGACCTTTGTCAATCTCACCGCTGGATGACGACGATTTGCTTGTAATGTTGATCGACAGAGTTATCCGTAACATGCGACATGGAACACATAGTGCAAAATGAGAAAATCTTCTAATCGATGATATATTACGAAACGGGTATAATAAATCTTTATATAGCTTATCCGGTTGGATAGCTACGTACAGCAGTATGCATAACGTGAGATGGTGGATAGAAATCTTGTGCATGAGATTTTTTTATGATAACGGTCTTAGCAACGTAACTTGCCCGTGAAGAATTATTATGATTATGTATATGTTTATAGATGGATATAACCGTGTAATGCCGCGAGTCTTGGTATTATAAGCAGACGAGTACAAGGATAGTAGCAATGCATGATGTTAATTATATTTAGATACGAATGTGACAAATGAAAGAAATTAAAAAATGACTGTATAATAATCTATGTAATGTATCTCGTAAAATAATTATAAAGGCATTTATAAAAGTGGTTAAAAAAATATTTTTTTTCCAAATCTTCAGATCCGCCAATATTATGGGCACGTGTAATTTTGCTATGCTTCTCGTGGGTCGAGTATTTTAGAAAATATGCGTAAAGCAGTATATGGCATATAAGGGTCAAGCATATACATATATCCCATTATGAATATATTGGCTGACCGTGGAGCCGATTTTATCTGGGGAATTTTGAAGGGCCGACCGTGCCGCGTGGGAGGATAATGCCTCTCGTTCCTGAGACTTTTGCCTTTTACTCTTTTGCTCGTATCCTCGCTTGTTCTTTGGTCCACCCCCATCCTCATTCTCGTCGTAAACCAGCATCGCCCTTAGCACCGTAACAACGCAGCACTGTGGCAGCGTACAGCACCGCCTCGCGGCTTCGTCGGCCCCCAAAAAGTCCCTAGGTCGATTTCGAGTGTTCTTTTCAGCGTCTGTATAGGTTAGGTTCTCTTCTGGCAAAATGCGAAGGGTCACCCCCGGCTTGACTACTCCAGGCGAAGAGCACTCAACGGCAGCTGTGCTTCTCGCGATACTATCTAAGAAAAAAAAGGTCTCAAGGTACAACATCTGCCTCCCACCATTTTCTTTCTTATTACCTCATTCCCTACTGACTTTTATTCGCCTACTGGATTTCCACGCTGTTCTATACGTTTACCTCAAGTAGACGTCAATGTACCTTCGTTCCATGCGTTAATGGAGGTTGACTTTTTTAATGATTAACAGCCCTGGACCAGAGCCATGTCTGACCAGTAAAGCTACCTCATCCACTTTCCTTCAGGTCCTCGGGGTTGGTACCGCTAGGAATCAAGCAGGCCAAGCACGTTCCTGGCTCATCGTATCTAATTATCAAGGAAATTACTCGATATCTTGTTGGGTGACTGACGAAGAAGACTTTACCGGTCCTGATCCAATATGGCTGCCCGACGATACCTTAAACCTCAAATACACTCAATTTTGAAAGTTATACGATCAGAATGGTGAATAAGAGTAAAAATGTTGTGTGGGTTAGGGTAGGTTACTTGTGTAATTTCATAGGACGTTCAGCCGTCAAAATACTCACGAAAATATACGACGCCCGGCACCCTCGTCAGCGTCGAGAAACACAGCATCCAACTTCTTCCAACTCGTTTCATCTGGAAATCGTGCTTTTTCATCTTGGCCACTACGGGACTCGCCTATCGCACGTAATGGCTCTACCTTCCTACAAGCCAGTTAATAGGTTATCATTTTTTGTAATGACCTAACCTAAAAAAAAGAAACCTTATAATTCCATAATAAAATTACGACAGAGTCGTGTCACTTGTCCTTTGTTCCATAATGTCCATACTAACCAGCTGATAATGTATCCTTGAAGCCTCGTGGAATTATTAAAAGTACATTAGAATTACAAATGCCAGAGGGCAAATGGGGTTCCAATAAAAGCAAATACTACTCGTCCTAGAATTGATCCAATTACTTGGCAACTGGTCGTCCTCGTCCTTCGGAGTCTTGCAAATCCAGAGGAAGCTGCGTGCGCCTTCCTCAGGGACGAGGTATCCGCAACGTAAGGCGCAACGAGTGGAATGAGGACCGAGTTTAAGCAGTGGTGGGGCGAGGAAGGAATGAATGGACGTGGTAACGTTATACGAGGCCTGGTAATTATGACTCCTCTAATCACCGACAATTACAGGAGTTACCGGGCTCGCGGCGTTATCTTCAACGGTCCATCGTCAGACCGGTTGGTATATGGGGAGAAAAGGAACTCTTCACAATTGGCAGGGTGTTGTAGATATATAGATAGAAATAGATTATCGATACACAGCTATACCGCCAGGTGTATAAAATAAGGGGTGTAAAAGTGGTAAAGGACTGAGAGTAGAATCAATCAAAAAGAGTAGAGACGAAGAATCTGGATCATAATGATTATCGGTAATTAATAACGATTACTACGTAATGTTGGGCCAAAATCAATCATCGTCCGCCAAGCAATCCTTGCTGTAATGAGGGATGCACCTCTTACCTATAGAAACCACGCGAGGAGAAACTCTTTCTTCTTCTGTATCTTCCTCGTCTTTTCTACACAGGGAGAAACTTACCTATACTTCAATCTAGTGGAAGCACCGTGCTCCTCTTATGACGGCTGGCACAACCCAACAATTAAATCCCTCCTGTACAGACGGGCTGCTATTATCGCTGAGTTATCGTTTCGAGACGGGACGACGCCGAGAGGGTTGCTGGGGAACCAGGACTCTTCGCCACGGCTTTGACATGCGTTTCGATTAATGTCCTAGGCCATTAGTCGGCACTGAAAAATCTCCAGATCCCTCGTATCCACAGCCAGGCGTATCTCCTTTCTTCTCGTTAAAAGCCTTATCGCTCCATGGTGGTTACAGCTGAAAATGAATACAGCAAATCTTAACGAGGGTAGCTTTAAGTTTAACAGTCAAAAATACAAATCCACCCCTTTCCTTAAGCAATAAAGTACTTAAGAATCATCGTCGCCACAATAACTGCAAATATCATTGAGTTTCAAACTTCAAATGACATGTCAAAAAAATGCGTATAGCAACTAATGGATTCGAAATTTTAAACACGAATCTTACCTGTCAGAGATCCAATAAAATAAAAGTCTCAGCGGCTGATCGTCGAAGAAGCTCGTAGGACGTCACGGGCGATAATAGATGTAGCGTCCCCTCTCTGGTGCCGTCAGCAAATTCCCAATTGAATAAACGTAACGAGAACGTACTGATTATAAAACCGGCGTACAATGCGCCTTGACGAGGCCACTTTTCCAAAGTAGTATGAGTCTGCCTGCAGAGACGTACATACAGATGTTACGCATAGGCCAGTATATACCACATCGCCTTTTAACAGCGTGGAGGCTACTTTGTATATGTTTCTACTCACCCCCATCGGACCAGAATGGATCGTAGTGGTACGTGGATATAGCCGCTGATGACAGAGCCGCGACAATAATTATTACAGCGTGCGATTCGTGATTACAGGGCAGAGCGACGAAGTCGTACTCGCATGAACTTGGTTGCATTAGGTATAGATAAATATATAGACATATAGGTACACATGAAAATATATATAGGGGTGGGCATGGTATAGCGGACACAAATGTATAAGTAACGCATACCTAGCTCGTTTACGTTCGATATCAACCCCCGTTTCGCGCCACCACGATTTCCCTCTGCGGATCCCATCTAGAGCCGAATTTGAACCCCTAGCCGCTGCCAGTGCTACTGCAGCCACGGCTGATGCTACTACGGCTTGGTCCATGGCCACTACTACCCTGGGCGAATTCGAGCGCTACCCCTGCTGCAACCGGGCAGCGGACATGTCCGCTAATTGTATGAATTATGTATGTGCTCTCTTACTTGCACGCGGCCAGACGTATACGTTGACTCTCACACACAGGTCCATTTAAGTATTTCGCTCTCGTATGTATACAGCATGCGAGCGGGAGAGAGAGAGAGAGAGAGAGAGAGAGAGAGAGAGAGAGAGAGAGAGAGAGAGAGAGAAGTTAGGGATGCAGAGTTACAAGGGGGGATGCTGGAGAGATGTCGTAATAGAGGGTGGCTTCGGGCTAGAAAGCGCGAGGACCGATTTACGGCTTTGGACTTCCGCTCTGCGCGAGCATTATTGAGATTAACCACCCCCTCGTCGAAATGGCTTTTCGATCGACCTCCGATGGGGGGTTCAAAAGACGGGAAAAAAAGTACTCGTGAATCAAGTCGACCCCTCTAAATGTTCCTGGGAGAGAGTCTGTATGTTGTGACGCGAATATATTTTTTTATTCTGAACCTCAAGGACACGATGTCCGATAGTACTTATCATGAAACTATATCCAAGACTATTTGCAACCCTTACCGAATATCGTTATACAACACGAAAGTTCGTGTCGAGGACTAATTGCTAATGGTTCGCATACCTACCGCGCGACAGTGGCGCCAGGCTATGATTACCACTGTTAATGTTTCTCATTTGACAACACTAAATCGTATCGCACACGAGCTATTAGTAATTTCGACGATTGGACGGGGTAAAGATTTTATCAGTATTCTTGATGACGAAGAGTTGCACACTATTCGTAATATACACTGACTTGCCGTATAAGTCGCCAATGAAGCTTATAAAGTGACATAACGACAGTGAAATCATAAGGGCGCCACAGTGTATAAGGTGTTATTATAAAATTCTGAGCTTGTTAAGTAACAACGTCAAGTACCGTATGCAGGGGGTTAGGTCAAATTTATCCAGAAAATTACACCGTGGTATATCGTACACCTTGCTACACTATATTCCACGTGCATAAAAGCCGGCGGATGATTTCGAACGACAGGACGTCCATTCAAGCGAGTGATTTATCGGGGTTGCGCGTGTGCCGCACAAATGATACAAAATGATGCGGCAATCAGACTGCGACTGGTAGACGCGCGATGATTGGTCATCCGATTGTAACGCAGTGCGCTATTGGTTAGTGATTTTTATGGATTCTTCGAGATCCTGTTATCTTAATGGCCTGGTATTTTCCGTAACATGAACGGGAAGTGTATGTACCTATCGACGTATAATAAATGAATAACAGAAGACAATAAAGAGAAAGATAAAAGAACAAAGCACAAGGATGAGGTATAAAAAAAGTATACAGATTAGGCGGAAGCAGCTCGAACAGAGAAATGCAAATGGGGTCGAACGAGTCAAGATTTACGGATCGCGTTTATGCAAACAATAATGCGCGCCGTACGTATAGAGCGACGCGTACATAGATACGTTAGCTCGACTCTGCACGAGTAAAAAGGGATATTGGACCTGGTTTACTCGTAAGGTTAGCTCGTTCCCTCAATGATTCACCAGGTAATGGAGACGAATGCGGCCATAACTCCAACGTCCACGCAACGTGCAAGATGCTTACGTTCCTCTCTCATTTCTCTTCTTTCTGTTTCGTATTCTCGATCTCTCTCCTCTTCGCAACCATCCACCACCGGACTGTACGAGCAAGTGCAATTTATATGACATCCGACGTTTATGATTTATTTAATTGAATATCCCGGCCGCCCTCCCGTGCGACTATTTTTTCCCCCTGTTCTTACAGCCCACCGGGTACATATATTTAATACGACAGAACACTACATAATGTGAAATAATAAAGACAATCGTTCTTATCGGCGAGTCACAACTTCACATTCTTAACGCATCTAACCTCCAAATATGACCGGCACGATTTACACAGCTTTTCCGAAGCCTCTGGTAGAACTTTGCACTCTAGCAATATTAACCCGCCAGTAGGCGCGTGAAGAGTCTGATTGTGAGACATCCCAACTCAATGCTTTTCTAGTGGTGAACAAAATCGCGCGAACATTCCCGGATTAAAGGTATATAAAAAGAATCATTGAAGCTATATATACAGTACATACCGTATGTTCTGAGGAGGCATCGGATACATTGCGATCGCAAAACGTATTACCGGATAATGGAACGCAATTTCCCCTTACGTTCTGCTCTCGAGCGGTTTCACACCTCGGTCGAGCCACAACCAAAAGGTTAACTTGATAACCACTCAGTAACGTCGTTCCTCGTTTCGCTACTTATCGTAAGATTGCGGTTACGTTCCAAGACAAGTACTCACGTCTTTCTCACTCTTCCTTTCGCTTGACTCTTTGGTCGGCCTATTTGTAAGGACTCAACCACCCGTGGTCAGGACAAGGGCCGGGAGGTGTGCCGAGAGGTTATCTCACAGCGTGCGATCGCAGCTGGCGACCACTTTTCTTCACTCCTCTCTTTTATCCCTCTCTGTCTCTCTCTTTCTCTCTCTCTCTCTCAGTCACTCGTTACTTTATCCACCAATCGCACTCGTCTCACCCTAACCTCACCTCACTATGTACTGTACGTCACATACAGGTATTATATCTCATGCAGCTTTCGCATACGACCAATTCTTTTCTTCCGCTATTAACGGCAAACGATCCGCGCGCCTTCTGGCGTATAATGACGCGAAACAAACGGTCGGTATGGAAGTATAGTAGGAATCTTTATGTAGGTATGAAAACTTCGATGCGAATAACTCAAGCTCAACAACCCAATCGCCTCTCTCTTTCTCTCTCTGTTACAAACTCCCAACAAGGCTCTGTTTCCATGGCACCAACCGCACTCGTAATCTTCTGAGGTACACTCTATCATCGTTGCTCTTACTTCTTGCCGTCATTCACCGCTTTTCATATTAATCAATTAATTAACCGCAATCCAGCCACCTTCAGCTTCACCTCCACGTGTACTACAACATCGACTCCATAGGTACCAACTTCACGCTATTCGCCACGTTATTTTCCTCAAGCGATAATGGCTTTTGTGGTTACTAGGTAATTGGTCAGCACGAACGATACTATATGTGATATACCATAACCCTTCTTACAGACACCAAGCATGGTTAAAGCTAAAGTATAGAGTTTTTAATGGACGAAAGTAACCGACCTTAGTTTACGCGCATAAATTCAGTGATCAGCAATGCTTCAATGCTTATCTCACGGCTGATAATTTACATCGAAGCACCGAACACTCGGAATTTATCATCTATTGGCAAATACGTTCCGGCGACTTGAGATATATTTGACGGACGTTATGTCGGCACTGTTATAAATGATAAATCAGCATAGCAATCCACGGCGGCAACGTCAGTTATGAATCTCGTGTGGAAAGTTAGTGGTAATAATTCAGCAAACGTGCGTCGTCGGACATTCTATAGTGACTCCTGCGTAAAATGGTGTTCTTACACGGTACACGTGTAGTCTGTATATATGGAGAAACGAAATTTTTAGTGCTTCTATAACGACTTGGGACGTGCTGTCTTTCACTGACTGCAGTGGTTATTAACCAGCGTGAAGAGAACTTCATTAATTTATAGTACATCGGCAATATATACCTAGTAATATAATAGTACATTATAGCTCTGTTCTTTGGATATCTTAGAGTACCATCCTAGATGGGATTGATTTAATGCTCGGTACTTGGTGGCCGTGGCAAGCGTGAATTGCAAAGCGGGGACTACTGATATTTTAATACAAGAGTGAAAGCGTGATGCCCGGCCATCCGTCTTTTCGTGGTCCGAATCTCTTTGCATACGGAAATCAGAATGCGCCAGAATCGCGCACCACGATATCTCGGACCCCACGTCGTCGTTCTGTTCAGGAAGGAAGACTGTTTGTTAGTCCTATCTGCGATCGCGCTGGTCTTCTCGATTGGGTTCCCACATTATTACACTGGCGAACCACCCTCGCTCACTCGGAGAACGCGCGCTCCTTCTCTCCCCCCGTTGCATGTGCGCATACACCACCAATGCATATGACTGTACACCAGCACTACGGGGGCCAAGGAGCATTTCGTCGTCGTTTTTTGTGTCTGGCAGGCCCTTCACTGGCTGGGTCCAGGGCCCGCCACGATTTAGTGGCCCTAATTGCAGGGTTCAGCTATTTAATTACCGGGTTCGGCCACTCCATCCCCCGTCCACGCTCCTACGCGTCGACCGTACGCGAGTACGCTGTAAGAGAATCGGTACGTGAATTGCTGCTACAATTTTCATTTTTTTCCCTTTCATTCTCAATTTCTGTTGCATTAGATAACGCTGAGATGATAAGTGGGGGATCATATCAGAACCACGTAACATCCCCAAAGGATGAAAGATCTTCCACCCTTGCGAATGTACCTAGTACCATAACCTTTTTGTCCCTTTTTTTCTAGTGGGGTAGAAAAAGCGACTAACCCCCGCCCGCCCCCCCCCCTTCACCCCATAGTCGTTACTTTTTATTAAGCTCACCGCCATTTTACTTCGCACCCACGCAATATTTCACGCTGCCATCTCTCCTACCGCGAGGCACGAAACAGGCATATATCACCTTCAACTCGCGGCCTGGCCCTCCTTCTCCTTCTCTCTGGTCCCTCCAGCCGAGGACGCCATATTGGTACCGTCCCGGAACAGTACGAGAGCTGCTGGAGCTTGTTGTCATGGGTGCTTCTAGCTGGCGACGTAGATGGTCTACACTTATCATCGACACCCCCAAAAGAATTCGAGAGACCGATAAATCTCAGTGGAAGAAGGGAAATCAGTGAAACACACGAAATCTTTTAATCGTCCCTAATAAACGGTTCGTGCGGTGGGCATTCGTAATAACTCCGAGCGTGTTGCTACCAAATGATTGATACGTCCATAAAGCGTTCGTGGGTCCGTTTCGGTGCCGGTGGCCGCGGGTGACAGGACGGTTTGACGAGATGATGAGGATCCTCATGAGGCCCCAAGAATCATCGTGATTAACTAAGGGCTGCGATTATATCCACCGTGAAAATAGCACTGCCACCGGTGTCTACGTCCTGTCTAGAATAAGGATCGTATACCTAACCTATATCAGGTACGC